GCGGTTTCCAGACAATTTTTCGTTACCGTCCGCTTTCATATGGAAAAGTTTTCCCATCGACCCCCTTACAGGGAGTTATTGGCAAATTGTCGGCATTTTATATATTTATTTTTGCGCATGCGCGTTGTTTTGGGGACATTGCCGGCTGTACACTATAATAATATCAGTTGGGCTGTGACGAGAACTATGACACAATTCACTCCGACAGAAATTTGGAAACGGTATGCTTTAATTCTTAACATTCGCACCGAGAGCTGCAATACGATTATTTCAGATTGTTTGGGTTTTAATCTGAAGAGAGTGAAAAGGATTCAGAACGAGTTGTATGAGTCTAATGGTGATTACGAAGTTATGGGAAAGGATCACTAAAGATAGCGAAGTTATTCATCCATTCATCTTAAAACAGTGCCTCAAACTCAACACAGAGGCCTACACCAAGTGTCTTGACGAAATAGAGCTGTCCTGGCTCAAGATGCTGGCTCCTGGAAGACGCTATGCCTGACAACAGAACTCTGCACCATGCCACACAAGCAGGAGAACCCTGTCGTAGATTTAAGACAATATGGCCCACCAAATCATTCCTTACATCATGCCACCTAACTCTTCAGACTGCAACCTCATTTATTATTATGTATGGGGCGCATTTGAGCGAGAGATAAAAAAAAAAACGCCTTGTTAAACCAAGGATGAACGAAAGGCAAGCATTTACCAACATATACAAGGAGGTCGTCCATGAAAGATGCAAGAGATTCCGAAGTCATCTGGAGGCCGTGCTTGAAGCCATCGACGATTTTTTGAATACATTTACTCTTTAGCATTTCAGGATATTTCTGTGTAATTTTGGTAAATATATCAGAATGAGATTTCTGTGTTATTTTCATTTTGCATAATTTGGACTATAATTTATCCAAATCACCCTGTATAATGATATTCCAAGCGTAACTTAGATGTGGCAGTAAGCCGAAAATAGGAGGCACCTAGTGAGGATCGAACTCACTACTCATTTGTAATTGTTCTAGCCAGAAATGTTTGCTAACCATTGCACCTCCTCGAGATGCACAATTACCCTGTATATAGTAAATATTTAAAGGCATACCGAAGATGATTGGTAAAGTTTTCTCCTTCCATGTGCCTTGTCCCTTCAGGACTTAGGTTATCCTAGCTCTCCACAATGTGCTGTACTTTACAACTCTCTGTTATTGGCTCATAAACTGGCTTTATGATGTATTCAAAAATACCAAAGGGAGATAACAAATAACGTTGCCGCAACTGTCAAGTTTGCCGCAATAGTCAAGTTTGCATTCGTTTGTTCTGTAAACAAACGAATGCAAACTTGACTATTGAAAACCTTATATATCATTTAGTTTTTTGTTCAAGGTTATTTTTATGTTTGCAAGTTTTGAAAAAAAACTAGTTATTTATAAAATTAAAAAATTATATACACGATTAGCAACTAATAAATATCCAGTTAATACTTTCTACCCTTATCTGATTTATATCCCCTATGTATATTTTTGGGGTAGCATATGTTGAAATAATTTTTTATTACTGAATATCTTATATCACACAGCGAAATTTCCAATCGCCTACCATGCATACATACACTTACAATGTAGCTTCCCTCTGCCTTTTCTATAAATAATGTCATGGCAAGTGCTCGGATGAATACTCCACTATGGTACTTAGACTTTATGAATTTAAACACAGTACTAGATTGGCGGCAAAGTCTCGTTGGTTTAAAGTTGAACTATCTAAACAGAACCGTCACTTCTATGTTAGCGTTTTCTTCTACCTCACTTCTCACTTGTGGAACTCTCGTCCGGCTTTTGTGTTCCAAGTCAACTTTGATCTTATTTTATTTTTTAGCACAGATCAGTACTTTATTTTTCTCTTTGATATTACTAAAGCTGTACCTTGAAGTAAAATCTAAATCTAAATATTCCTAGAAATGGAGAGCGGGACGAGAACGACCGAAACTGTCGGAGGTTATCGTCCAAGAACTGCTAGAAATCTTAATAGTAAATAATTTCTCATATTGTATATCAGTCAGTCATTTAATTATAATACGTGATACACACTAGGGCGATCATGTCTCTTTCGATTCATGATTGACTAGGCAAAACACTTTCCTCATAGTAGATTGCTATTTCTTTCTACTGTTGACGAATTACTAGCCAAAGCCAGACTATGTCTGCGCTACTATTCAATCTATTGCTGGAAGAAGAGATGGATTTGTAACTTTATCAAGAGTATTTGTGCGTAAGTGAATGTAATTAACCTGACTGGAATTCGAACTCGACACTCCGAGTTCTCACGCCGACCCGATATCCATTACACCACTACGCACATGATGAACGTAGCAGTTCCAAATCTAAGCTAGTAACATTACATCAGTACAGAGCAGCTCTTCATATAACTCCCACACCCCCAATGGGGCTCCTTGCTCGGACAGCTATTAGGTCTTAAGGACACACAAATAGAATTTGCCATATCTGAAGATGAGAAATTAGCAGTTTCTTTGTATCGCTCCAGAAAATATCTAACTCCTGTTCTGTCTTTGCAACAATCAGATCTAAAGAACAATGAAGTATTGTTGGGTTGGTACTGCACAGTTTTCACTGTCCAGTTCAAAATCGAATACACAGCCTCGTAGATCATTAATTATCTTCCATCCTGCCAACCATATCCCACAAACGAAACGTTACAAGCCACTCACTTCTCTTTCCCTATTGCTGTATTAAACGTTCGGACGAATTACATTCCTTAGACAAAGCAGCTGCGACCTTCACAGCTAAGAGCGGCCATACCATGTCCAAGATGGAAATAATTCCCATTACCTATGCTTTCCTTTGGTATGGAGTTCGTTCCATCGACACTACGGAAGCTTCCATAACCATTATTAATCCTGTGTATGACGATAAACTATTATCCGGTAGCAAGTCATATGATTGGAAGATTGAAAGCTGTGAGCAGCGTGAAACCAACTTTTTGTCGTTGTTCTTCTCTGATCTACCATGACTCAGTCTGGTAGCACTTGTTAGGGTCCCTTTTATGGTAGAATAGTGAAACCCAAATAAAAAAAATAAAAACACTATGAAAAGTATAAAAAATATTTTTATAGTAAAAATGCCAGCAATACATTTTTATATGAAAAAAAAACCAGCAATACATATATATAGTAGAATTACCATCAATATATTTTATAGCAAAATGACCAGTAATACATTTTCTCTGTAGTTGAAAGCATACAATTGCCTTAAAAATACTTAAATTTCGGCATTAAATAATGTATAGAGGTTGTATGCAAAATTAAACAACGAAACCTAACCCTTGAAATCTCAGCCTCTTCTCATTCCCGTCTCTTTTACAACAAAATTATTCAAAAACCCAGTATATTGAGTGGCTCTTGGGTCTTATATAAGTGAACAAAAGTAAAAACATACAATTGACTGCTTCATGTTGCATTGACCTAATCAATTAGAGAATGCTTTTATTATTTTCTTTCCTACGATCATGTTTTTTTTTGTTTTTTTGCAATTCTATTTTTTTCTTTTATTTCATTTACTACTGATTGATTCATTCTGTCTTTCTTTCATTATTTCTTTCTATTTTTTTTATTTTCTTTCTTTCTTCTGAAACGTAGAAGACGAGAAGAGACAGGTACGTAAAATTAAGAATATCAGAAAATTCCCGATTGTTTGAAAACTGAAGTGAATTTCTACATCCACTTAATGTCTTTAAGCAAATGACTGTTTTTCTATTTAAATCGAAAGCTATCATCAATTTTTGCCGCCTTCATCGGAGAAGATGTGACCTAGATATTTTTTTAATAATATAATTCCCGCACAATCTGAAACGTAAATGTGTTTATTCTATTGACTCTCTTTCCCTACAAGGTCAGAAAATTCCAAGATTAGGCGATTAATACATTCACAATAGTCCATAAATAATAAGGATTACTCACCAACGTATGTGTTCACAAATTTGTTCCACATTCTGGTGTTTTGCTGGTGATTGCTTGCACTGAAAACTTAACATTGGAGACTAAACCGCGATCGATCCTGAGAGGCGTCTATCATTCAAAAACATGTGTGCGGCATAAAATTGGCCACTAACCCGGGGAAGAATTTCGAGAGTATCAGTGTAAGATTTTTTGGTAGCGTCACTTAAATTTCATTGCAAATATGTTTTCGAATTTTTGAGCCACCGTTGTCAGCCATTGTTTTCAGCCGTCGTAAAAATCCCAAGGATGTTTCAACACAAGCAAAGCAAACCTACCGTTATAGCTGAACAAGAGTAAATAAATATTTACTCTGGCATCTACTGCCAGAGTAAATAAATATTTACTCTGGCATCTACTGCCAGAGTAAATAAATAGGCCGGATGTAAACCTCAATTACGTGCGTATTTCCGTGGAATGGTCGAACCCCTGCATATAGATTCCATTAACTTTACGATATCTTTGCGCAGGGCCGAACACTTTTGGTTTTTAATATAGCGCAGCTGTTTGTGTTAAGGTCTTCAAAATCATTCATCGAGCCAGTAAAATTTGATGAGTACGAATCTCTCGGTGCATTGGTGCAAGCTGAACATTCAAACAAGCAGAAGGAGAAGACGAAGAAGAGGAAGAGAAAAGAAAATTAGATAATGAAGCGGATCTTTTTTATTTATTTATTGAAAGATTTTCTCTAACTGGATTGTTTGCTAGTCTTGTTCTATCATCTCGTTATTCGGTGTGAAGATTTTATCTTCTGCAGATGTTGTTCAACGGAAAACGACTCGTAATAAAGTAAGCAACTTTTTAAACTACTCTTATGTTTTTCCTTTTTCTTCCGCCATCATTAATTCTTCGTTGCTATTATATTACTTTTTTATTTTCTTTACTAGTTAAATATTTTCTTTTTTATTGAGGCTCCAGTTTTATTACTTTATATATTATTCGGTTTTGACTTTTACCTCTACGCTACTCACATTTACGAAATTTCGACTTATTGTTTAGAATGTTTTTCTTTCTTTCTGTTATCTGTTATTTTGAAAATTTAGTTATTAATACCCTTTCTTTTGTTTTATTCCATTTATCAATGATTCTTTCATTCCTCCTGTCTAATTTCCTTTCTTTTTCTACCTATTTTATGTAGTTTTAATTTCTTTACTTTGGGATTGAATTTTTTTTTCTTTTATTCTTTGAGAAGGTTTTCGTTTTTGCACAAACGTTGGCCTGCTTTATATTCTTCTTTCCTTCTTTCTTTCTTTCTTTCTTTCTTTCTTTCTTCTTACTTGATTTGTTTGTTTCTTTCTTTCCTGCTTTGTTTATGTCTTTCTTTCTTTCTTGCTTGCTTTCATTTTTGTCGGCTTGTTCGATTCTTTATTTTTTTCCTGTGTTTGTTTCTTTTGGTTTTTTGGTAATTCCATTACTTTGGTACTCATTGTCTTTTACTTAATTTCTTTCTTTCTTTTTCTCTTTTGTTTTTCGTTCATTCTTTCTGTTAATAATAATTATTTTATTTCATTTTCGGTCATATTTTTCTTCCTTTGTTGATTTCCATTATTTTCTTTCACTTGATTTCTATATTCCAGTCAACTTTTCATTTTTTTCTGTCACTTTCTTTCTTTCCTCTTTCTTTCTTTCTTTTTCTTTCTTCTCTCTTTCGTTTTCTTTCGTTCGTTCTTTCTTTCTTTTCTTTTTTTCTTTATATCTTACATTCAGCCAGCTCCACGAAAAATAAAGTATTTAATTTTGTTTCATTTTCATACCTTTTCAATTGTTTTCTTTTCTTCTTTCTTTCTTTCTTTTTTCTTTTTCTTTGTTTGTTTTTTTCGTTCTTTTTTCATTCTGCTTTCTTTCTACAGTTGTTTTTTTCTTTCTTTTCCTGTCATTGATTCTTTTTCTTTCTCGTTTCGTTCTTTTTCTTTCTTTCTTTTTGCTTTGTTTATTTTTCTTTGTTTCTTCCTTTTTCCTTCAATGTTTCTTATTCTTTCTTTCTTTCTTTCTTTCTTTCACCCACCTCCACTGGAAATAAAGTATTTAATTCTGTTTCATTTCATTCCTTTACAATCGCTTTTTTCTTTGTTTACTTTCTTCCTTCTTTCTACCTTTGCCTTTTGTTTTTCTTTCTTTCTTTCTTTCTTTCTTTCTTTCTTTCTTTCTTTCTTTCTTTCACTCTTTCTTTCTTTCTTTCTTACATTCAGCCACCTCCACTGGAAATAAAGTTTTTAATTCTGTTTCATTTTCATTCTTTTTCAATGGCATTACCTTTATGAGCGAGTATTATTAATTTATCCTGCTGCGCTTAGTCTTTCATCCTGTACACATATTTTAAGCAACTAGTCTGCACTAGTCTGGTAACATTTGACCTTCGCTCCCAGCAACAACAACAATTAAAGAGACTCTTCTTCGTCCATTATTTCTCGGCGTCTCTTCAGCCGAAACTGTGATGTTTCCTTCACCAATTTACACCTTCCAAATGTTCTCACTCTAACGAGATTATCTTTTAAAATTTCGCTTTAATAATCTCTAGATTATCCGCATCATTAAGCTCTATTCATTTTTTATATCTTCTGTACATATTCATTGAACAGTATTCTTTCTTAATTATATAATATTCCTCATCATTTTTCTCTTGCTTTTTAACATGGCTTCTTCACGTAATACTATGCATTTTCAAAATGCTTCAAATAGCTTATTCGACGAGGTTATAGAAAATGAGAGCAGAATTATTTTTCTATTCTGTTTTAGGGCAAAACCGATTATTACGCTGAAATATTAATTATTATAAGAATTAAAATAGAGCTTAAATAAACTATAATATAAATAAAAAATGCTATATCCAACTTATTCTTATACGATGGGCAATATCTCAAATCCATCTGATGTTAATGTGATTAAATCAAGAATTGAATAAAAAATAAATTTAGTTAAGAAAGCTGTAATCTTGTATTCTTCTCCGACATTACGAAGGTAATTTTACAATAGAGAGAACAAATTTGTTAACATCGGGGAATTGAATATGTAGATACGAATATTATAGACTCAGAAAACAACAGTCAATTTCGATCCTTAATCGATGATCAGATCTATATTCACCTCTCTGTGTAGGTAAGTACATATAAGTTACTGCTGGGTTCTAAGAAGGAGAAAACGGGTTTTAGCCAAGTTTTGTTTAGGGATACTAACATATGCGATGCAGAACTCAGTATACGGATCGTAAACAGCCGCAGCGGTGACAGCCAGGCGGAAAATGATTTGGAAGAGCAACACCAGCCTCTTCAAGCTCTACAACTTGCTGGTCATATCTATTCTCCTCTACGGGTGCGAGACTTGGACACCCTAGTTGAGAGAGAAGAAAAAATGGATTCAGACGTTCGAGAACAAATGCTTCTGGGAACACAAAACAAACAGCTATGTACAGAAGTAAAAAAAAATTTCGTGGGCCGACAGGAATCTTTTCTCAGCATTATTAAGCGTCGGAAGATGGCATGGATTGGCTACTTCACACGGCATAAGAGCCTCTACGAGGCCATCAAGTCAGGCACTGTTGAAGGTGGACGCAAGCGTGGGTGCCAACGCGATAAGCTGGTCAGACAACATGAAAAAGTAGACGGACATGAAAATGTCGGAACTCTTCAGATCTAACACATCGCCCTGGAAAAGCTTGTCTGTTTCTCCTGCACTTACAACAAATCGCTGACGATAGAATCAGTCGAGAGACTGATGATGACGAAAAAATTTATAATTCTGCTTATTTCCTCGTTCCTTGGATAGCAGGAATGTTGTGCCCTGTCAATAATTAATAAATAATTGACTATTTCGTTTTAATCTCGTGGAAGGACGGAAAAGACATAACAGAGAAAATTCAATACTTTCTTTTTCTTAAGAACGAAAGAAAAGATAGAGCAAGTGATAAAGTCCTCATATGTTGAACGTCTGCTTTAGTGAAATTTAAAAAAAAATACTTGTGAATTTTAAATTTTTCATTTGTATCCTCTCCTTTATGTAATGACCTGCTTTCATATTAAGGGCTGTTAATGCAATATTATGTTAAATGTGATAATCTCAAACATTTACCGATGAATTAGTTGAATTTCTACGGATATTTTATGTTCGTAGAATTTGCATGGAATTAATTCAATCATTAACTTAAGATTCAGAAAATGAAAATACGAAAACCATGAAATTTTCACGTGTCCTACTAGTTTTAGATTTCCGTATTTGACGGCATATAAGGCGCAATCTTTTATTAAAATTATCTTTTAAAATTCAATTGCGTCTTATATGCCATCGTCAGCCAAAATTATCTACCTGACAACTCCTATTAGCTTAGACTTTAGAGTAACTTTAATATACCTATTGTCATTATTTAAAAGGCGATTATGCAGATTAAAAGTGTTATTATTGATAATATTCATTATATTAATTTCATCACGTTTAATATTAGTACTTTGTTTCATTAAAATTATATGCAATAAATTCAAATTATATACTTGTAAAATATATTTGTTTCATTAATATTTTTCTTGCGATAACTTCCGGTTGCATTGCTATAAATACAATCAGAATTTTTATATCCATATTATTACAATAAGACACAGGTTGTACGGATCGCATAAAGGATATAATAAAGTTTTTATGGGTTCGTGTTCTTTTTCCTTATTATTTTTCTTTTGTAATCTGATGAATTGAATATGCATATACCAAGGTTCCCCCTCACAGTAATATGATTGGCAAGTGTCAGCCATAAATACAGACTGATGTGGAGGTACAGGACGACGCCTATTAGCTACGCCTTTTGTCTTCGCCTATTGCCTACGCCTATTGCCTACCACTACGACGAGGAACAGTCCATTACGGTTACCTGCTAGATTGTCCTACCCGGTTACAGTAGTCAACAACCACGTTGCTACTTCGAACACATATATCCCTTTCCGGGAATGTAATAATTATAGCTTATTTAAACAAACTAATACCTCAAAAATATAGCCTAGGCTGTATAAATGACTAATAATTTTACTAATTACTAATTTTTTTCTTCATTTTCCCTGCTGAAGTTGGGGTGCGTCTTATATACCAGTGCGTCTTATATGCCGTCAAATACGGTATTTTTCTTGTGTGTATGCATTTATTCTTTATTTCTCAATTTATTATAGTTTTAATTGTTTGTACACTTATCTCTGTTTACTTTATTTGACTAGTTGTCCTTAATTATAAAAATGCAAACACAAATTAAATAATACTTCATTTAATTTCGGAACACATATACTAAACCTATAAACCAGACAATACTTCCGCATCGGAAGGTGGGTTCTGCCATTATCTCTCCCTTTGCACCACCGCTTGAGGCAGACTCGAACGGTATGTAACGAGGATATTGGAGCAGAAAGATAAATAGCTACTCATAGACGCGGCTCTATCAAGAGTAAAATAAAACACTTTAATATCAGCTTGTGAAAAATGAAAAGACTTAACATATATTGGACAGTTTATTTTCACATTCTTTCTCCAAAATCACACAGATGATTCAAACCCTACAAAAAGCAAATGAAATTTCTTCAAGAACGTTCATTGGTCTTCAACCAAACATACCTTAAAAAATATAAATGCTATATGAAAGTATATAGTTATATTCAATGTCTGCTGTCTCTCATTGTTCTTTTAATAGACTTTCCTTTACATTCAGTTACACCGCAATTTAGATGTGTTGGAAAAGAAAATCATCATCCTGTCCATTTGTACTTTCATTATAAAAACATCATTTTCCAGGAAAAAAATGTAATCACCGTGATTCCCATGGAAGACAAATGCATTGACTGTGTTTTGAAAATTTCATTTGATTCGCCTTAGTGTATTCTTTTTCGCTGATATATTTTCCTGGTCGTAATTTTCTATAACTTCTGGTAACCTGATGTTTCTCATCTAAAGTTGGTTCTCTGTTTTCATGTCATTAAACTTTTAACAGTTTTAGATATATCAGGGAAGGTTTTAAAAATTGAGATTACCTACATACTTTCCAAACTAAAATCTTCATCTGCATTGTATACGCTTTGTTACTCGCGACATTAGATGTATTTGAAAAAATTGATTATTTTGTCCATCTGTCAAATTCATTGTTTTCAGTAGCTTTAGGGAGACATCTCTCGAAATTACTCTACAAGTAAATCAACATTCTCATATTCTATCAATATTAGTCATTTCTATGAAGAAGATATTTTCAATTATAATCTTAGAACAGTAACCCATATCGATATGTCTATCTATCTCAATTTAAACTATTCTTAATGTGTTCATCTAGTATTACTTAGCTGATATTTTTATATTGAGTTTAAATCGTTTCCTTAACAGAAGAAGCATTTTGCTGGTCCCGGTAAAATAGATTCCCAGTCTATTTTGCTGGTAAATACTTTATTATTATGAAGGCAGGTAATGTTAAAAATAACAATACAGAAGTTTATTTATATTCACCATCAATTGTTAAGAAAATTTAAAATCTTTTCAACCATCGATTGTTAAAACACGAGTTAAATTTATTTATTTATCATCAACTATTAAAAGAAATATAGAAGTATCTGAATATTTTAAGCATTTCAGGCAAAACAGTCTCTGCAAATCCCAAACTTGTCCTTGGGCACGGTTCTCTTGTCAATACACTTCAGGAGCACCCACTGAAGACAACAGTCACAGACTACAGAATCAATGTTGTTCAAGTCTTGCCTACACAGCTCACACAACCACTGCGGTGACGATCTGAAATATAATATAATCTTTGTTGTGAAACACTATTTATCTTTACCGACAAAATAGCCTTGGTGTCTATATTAACGGAATCGGCAAAATTGTCTTGGTGTCTATTTTACTGGAAGTGGCAAAAAAGTTTTGATGTCTATTTTAATGGAATCAGCAAAATTGTCTTGGTGTCTATTTTACCGGGACCGGCAAAATAGTCTTGATGTCTATTTTAACGGAATCAGCAAAATTCTTTGGTGTCTATTTTACCGGGACCGGCAAAATAGCCTTGATGTCTATTTTAACGGAATCAGCAAAATTGTCTTAGTGTCTATTTTACTGGGACCGGCAAAATTGCCTATAAGTTTCTAGCTTTTTTAGTTGAAACATCATCAGGTACTTCACAAAGTAAGTATTGTCATATGTAAAGCCAGTTGTTTATTTCCAATAATTTGAAGTTTATCAACATTTCTTAATTTTTCCTAAACCGA